GAAGAAAAAATGCCGAAAATATGCTGGAAGGTGTATTAAAGCCTTGGGCACGCAAAAATTTTGACCGCAGACCTTGGACATTCCAACAGGACTCAGCACCATCGCACTCAGTACGCGCTACCCAAGAATGATTACAAAATGAGTTTCCTCGCTTCATTTCCAGAGCACAATGGCCACCAAATTCTCCGGATACCAATCCGTTGGACTATAGTGTCTGGAGCATTTTAGAAAGCAAGATTGGCACTAAAAAATACAAAAGTGTCGATCATCTCAAGAAAGCGCTTCGCCGGGAATAGGCCAAAATACCGCTGAACAACATTCGGGCAACGTTGTTTCATTGGCCGTTTGAAGGCCATAATTCCTGCCAAATTTAAACTTATTCTAAAATTTTATGATATTTCCGAACTTTTTGCTTTCATTTAATAAAATGTGAAAAAAAATTAAAAATTATGCCGTTTGACTTTGTTGTAGTTTTTTTATCTCACCCTGTATGATACTCTACACTACTTTGCATATTAATTAGAGCTACGTGTAACAAATAAATATTTATATTGGGAATTTATGTGAAGTATGATCATTATTGATTGGGCGGTACGGCTTTATACCGGTACCGGCTTAAATTTGAATTCAGACGGAAGCTTTATTATAACCTTAATTGATTTCCACTAAGTTTAACTGAGTTATTTGTATGCCTTATTTCATCTCGTTCTATGTTATGACATGGGAAAGACTTAAATGAAAATCTTGCGAAACATATTAGAGATATAGCAATATCTCAACCGATTTTCAGCAAATTTGATGTTGGTTTCATGCTAAATTCGGTCGAATTTTCCAAAATCTATCCTAATTCGGACGAGAATATATGGGAGCCACATCTAAATTTGCAGCAATCTCGATAGAATTTTACAAATTAATTTCTAGGTTGTCTCTGATATCTTCTGCAGAATATCATTGTTGTAGAATGCATATTTCGACTGTGGGGAACTTAACTACCAAATCGGATGAAATATATATTTATGGGAGCTATAGCTATATCTGAATCTATTTTCACTAAATTTGAAGTACTTGTTTCTAGCCTGAATTCTGTCGCATTTGCCCAAACGGACGAATTTTACAAATTTGACGCAAAATAAAATTGAAATCTGTAATATATGGCAGCAATATTTAAATTTGGTCCGAATACCACCAGTTTCAATAGGGTTCGTCCGTGGGCCAAACAAATGATGTATTGAGATTTTCATCTGAATCTGAAAATAAATGACAGACATAATTCCCAGCAAATTCGACATATAGATGCTTTTCTATGATCATACGCACAATTAAAGTGAAATCGGACGGTGATATGTATGTGAGCTATATCAAAATGTATGGCCTGATTATCATGAAATAGGACTTGTATTTGGACCAAACAAATGATTTGCGGAAAATTTAGTCTCAATCGGATAATAAAAACGACCTGTACTTGGTTTACTAACACACACGGACATACCTACAGACGGATGGATTTGACCCAGAATGCGATTTTACGGAGATCATAAAAAGGAACTATGAATCTAACACGTCTCCATCTGCATGTTACAAACAAATGTACAAATACATAATACCCTGTACCACAGCGTGGTGGAAGCGACGCTGTAGCTTCGATCCACTTGCATAATTTTTTAGCTTGAGCAATTCGGAACTTATAACCAAATAGATTAGTTTCAGTAATATTTTGATACTCAGAACCATAAAGAAATTTGCATAAAAATCTCCGTAAGTTCTAGTAGCCAATAAAAATCTTAGACGATATTTTAATGAAAAAAATCTGAGAAATCCTATTTTAATGTCCGTCTGTCGTAACAACTCTAACTTGTGAAGGGATTGACCCAAATGTTAAAAATTAGATGATGGTCAGAAGGATTGTCCACTTTTTCCAACGGAATTAGCTATAAATTGAAATTTTGAATTTCCATTAACAACTGTGGACTGAACTTCGACGTTCATATAGACCCCATTTGACCTATTTTTCCAACGGAATTGGCTATAATGTGGTATTTCGAATTTTCATTTGTACAAAGAAACTAATTGGTTTAGATTTCTTTTAAGTTCGTCATTCCGTTTGAAACACCTCGAAATATATATTTTAGACTCCATAAAGTATATACATTCTTTTTCAAAATAAAATTATATGTCTTTGTAGCGGTGTCCGCCTTTCCATATGTGGAAATCAAACAAGCTTCCGAACAAAATAAAGTAGGTTGATACAATTTTATTCTGATATATTTTAGGTCCGTAGAACTTTTAGTATTAAAAATGGGCCGTATACCACCAGATTTAAGGTGTTTTGGTTTTTTTTTTTTTTGTCACAATTTGAATCCGAATATGCTTTAAATTGGCAGTCTGCTTTACCAGTATGTGGGCAACACCCTTATATTGTACTGTCCATATATGTTGGTACAGTCCCTACATAACTTCATCCCCAGATATTCGGTATTTCGAAGATTTGTGTCACACTTTTGACTGGATTTGTTTCAAATTTGGTATTGGGATTACGTAATGATTACTTCATCCTATGACAGTATATTGCCTATTAAAGTCCAAATCTTCGTATAGCCCCCATTAATGGTACCTCTTGCTATTTTGATGATTTAAGCTAAATTTTTCTACAGATTTACATCAAATCTGGTATTTGGATTTCGTAATAGCCCTTCTCTGGCAGCTATACACATGAGTATATTGCCTAGCCCCCATGTAACTGCAACATTTAATATTCGGATTGTTTAAATTTAGAATTTTCAAAGTAACTATTTATATCCTAAGAGTATTATGTCTTTATGCATTTTTTTTTTTTTTTGTATTGTGGAGAAGAAAGCAAGATAGAAGTTACTTTTATTGATCTTCATATAATCACTTCCTGAGTCGATTTATGCATATCAGTCCTTTTGTCCGTCTGTCCATGTGTTTTTGTGAATGACACTTTCCAAACAATATTTGTTTAGCCAAGGACGAACCCTATTAAAATTGGTGATATTCGGTTCAAATTTAGATATAGCTCCAATATTTCCTATTTCGGGTTAATTGTGCACCAAATGTCCAGTGTCAGAAATGACTTCAATATTTCCAAATTGTTTTGCTGTTGTTATTGTCAAATGTCAAATACAAAATGGTTAATAAATCAACGTCGATTAAAAAATATAATGTCGTCACAATTTTTTACGGCGACACTTCCATGGGCACTTCCGCCCAAAGGCATGTACTTCAAATTTGGTGAAAATCAGTTCAGATATAGCTATAGCTCTCATATATATGTTTTTTTTCGAAATAAGTACATAAAATTTTGTCAAGATCGATTCAGATTTGGATAGAGCACCCATATATATACTTATCCCATTTCAGGTTTTTTGTGCACCAAAGAGTTAATGTCAGCCCAAATAGACTGAATTCAACCCAGAGGCAAGTACTTCAAATTTGTTGAAAATCAGTTCAGATATAGCTATAGCTTTGGTACTAGAGGTACAAAATCCTCCGTTCCCAGTTCCCAAATTATGACTACTCTAAAGCCATGATAGACATTCAAATATAGTTTATAGTTGGTATGATCTACTTCACATAAATCCCCAATAAAAACTTTTTTTGTTACGGAAGCTCTACTAAATACGTAGAGTATCATATAGTTGGGAGCTCCACTAGGGTATGGTGTGTGTATCATATAGTCGGCCCAGCCTGACTTTTGGACATTCCTTACTGGTTTGCCTTTTGAAATTTTCTTTCAAATGTTGTTTACAATTTACTGTTTCTACTTATCAACGCGACACAAAATGTTTAAAGCAAGTTCGTTTTCATCATACTACGGCACCAATCTACAATCGGAATTTTGAGGATTTAAAGGATAATTTACTTGTAAGCGATCAAAACAATTTAGATATACAGGGTGAGATGAAAAAACTGCAACCAACTTCAGACTGCTGTCATTTTATTGTTTACAAGCGTACAAACGCATTTTGGTGAGAATTTTCCAGAAAAAATAGTTGTTCAAAAAGTTATTCAAGTGATGGAATTCAATTCAAATGTGATTTCTTTATATTTGCCTGGAAAACCATAAGTGGCTATCGTTAGAGCACTCCAGCATTTAAATGTGAATAAATCTTTTGTGTCTCGTACCACCGCTCGTTACCGTGATACTGGTTGCGTAGCCCGACGTCAAGGAAGTGGACGGAAGAAAACAGCAACATCAGCATAAATGGTTCGAAAAGTAAAGAAGTAACTTGATCGAAACCCGCATCGCAGTGGCCGAAAAATGGCTCGTGAGCTGAACATATCGCAATATTCCATTCGGCAAATATTAAAAAATGAGCTCGGGGTAAACCCATTGAAATTCCAAAAAGTGCAAGAACTTACACCGCAACAGAATGAAAATAGACTCAAAGCACCTTCGATTGGGCACCAGAACTCAAGCGCATGCCATGGTGATGGTGTGGGCCGCCAAAGCAGCCGACGGTCGCTTTCCGCTCGTATTAATCGTCTGTGGCATCAGAGACTGTATATTACAATGTTTTAATTTCCCCATGTTGGAAGGTATCAAATGTTCGTCTCGGCAAAACCTAACGCTAATTTTCCCTTTCAGTTTTACTATAATAGCCATTCATTTATTTCAGTATCCTAGATTTAGCCGCTTCATTGGTCATTCGATAGCCAGTCATCACAATTCTAGAAATATATTTTAAAAATTATAGAGACTCTGGTTTTAGCCTGAGCATTGCCCTTTTATTAACGTAGATTATGTTTTTATTAATTCAGTCAACACTTAAATCTGTTAATTGTTGACTTAGTATGGAGTGAACTAACAATATTTTAATTGAGTAAAAAATACAATAATTCCTTTGCTAAGCCCCGGAAAACTAAATTTTTTTAAGCAAATATTTGGTTTCGTTTAGACTTGTATGTATATGTACAGTGCCACCTGATTAACTTACCATATTCCATTCAACTTTGAGAAAAATAAAATAAAAAACAAAAACTTTATTATTATTTTTTTAATTTTTTCGAATAGTTTTTATTTTTGTATAAGAAATGCTATGAACTATGAAATAAAAAGTCAGTTATAAATAAAAAATTTCCCCGTTAAAATATTGGAAGAATTTTCTTAAATAATGTTGTTGATATAATTTTGCAAAACAAAACAATTTTAATTAATTAATTAATTATTATTGATCACAATACACATTCTAAGGTTATGATGACGATGATGATTTAAAACCAGTTATCTTTTTTTCGTTTTGTTTTGTCAACATTCTGTTATAACTTTGAGCTACTGTATGAACGTACGGCTTAATCGGCTGCTACTGCTGATTTACGGTTTGGATGTATTTATTTACAACAGCCACCTGCATTGCCGCATTTGTATGTATGTATGTCGGTCGGTCTATATTGTAGTTTTTGTATGTGTGTTTCTTTTTAAGGTATAAATATTAAATTTAATCTAACGTTAAATATATTTTATACATTATATGACATCATATTTTTGTTTCGATTCGTTTCGGTACTATTTTCCATATTTTCATTTGATACGGGGATCCGTTTCGCTCTGCTTTGCTTTACATTACTTGATACATTATTTTAATATGTGTTGTGTTGTTGTTTTTTCTTTTTTGTTTTGTCAACATTCGTTGGAAAATTAAAAAATGAAATTATTTAATAAAAGCTTATTTGCTATGAAATAAAAATAAAATAAAAAAACGTCTCTTATATTCTGGCTAAATAAAGTGTGGTACTTAAAAATGTGGGTTTCCGTTATCTTTTGTTTTGTTTTGCTCTTAACTAACTATGTATATTTATAATAGTTCTTAATTAATAAATTTTAAACGCTATAATACAATTGATGCCATAATCATCACACATGCCAATGCCATTCTTCTCCGATCTTGGCAATCCTTCTAATTTCTAGGTTCCTTGTCGTTTTGTTGCGTCGTCACATTTGTTTTTGTACATATTCCTAGCTAGATTAAAAGTAGATTATCTTACAATCTAATTATAACTCTATTAAATCTAGAAAAAGAAGAAGAATAAATGGGTTTTACTTTCGAACATAAGAATATGTTTGTATGTATTGTATGTTATTTGCAAGGTAATAATGTAATACAATGTGTTATTGTACGCACGTATGTATGCATGTATGTGTGTGTTATGTTGATAAATTTAAACTTTTTTTGTTTCGTTTCGGTGTAATTACAAAAGTTGTTCCGTCCCTTAATATCTACTGGGGAGTTAATAAAGTTTGCATTGTTTCGAGTTCGAGAACCAAACTCAATTCGATTCATAAAAAATAAGAGAAAAGAAAAACTACATCAGTCATTTTGGCACACACCAGACAACCACCACACTCCTATCGACGTAATAATTTGTTTACGAGTTGCCTTTTTTTTGGTTATAACAAAATACAAGAGAGATCATAAATCTGAGAAATGTTTTCTTTGTTTTATTGCTGCTGATGTTGTTTTTTTTTTTGATACTGCTTAGGCATATTTGTTATCGCAACAAAGCGGAAAAAATTAAAATTTTGGTTGTCATAAATTTTGAAGTAATAATTTTTTAAAAAACTTTCCGTTGGAATATGTGTAGGATGGAAGGGACTCAATCGTCAACAGAGCAATTTTAGAAAAAGCGCAAACTTCCACTTTAGAAATATAACCTTACGAAAATGTAAATTGCATACTTTGGTTGAAAAAATAGAAACAAAATTAAAGAGGTATAAAGGTTTGCTCTTAAGCCATCATTTAAAATTCATATTAAAAAAAAAAATATGTGAAAAATCTATATCAGTACAATTATCATGGAGAACTTTAATCATGATAACGAAATTGCATCAGCGATTTTTGCATACTGCTATAAACAAGCTTAAATATTTTGTCAATAAAGTGTTCACTTTAACAGTATAGCCCTTGAAACATTTTCCCAAATGGGAGCAAACTTTGAGAAAAGAGTTCTTAGGATGTCTCTTTCCATGACCTCTCATACCGCTCTAAATCTAATTTTAATTTTCGAAAATTTATTTTATGTTTCAAAAATATTCTTCAATTTACTCAAGTACTCTCAAGAAATACTTTTTAATTACTCTGCGCACATATAAAATTGTTATTGTAACTTTGAATATGTAAATGCATAAATTGGGGTCAGTATGAAAATATGGAAATGAAACCGGTTTCACGATATGAACAAAAACAATATGTGATATTGTCAAGGAATATGTTTTTGAAAAAAGAATTTAGCTTTTGTTGCATTTGTTTTTAACAATGCAGTAGTGCAAAGAGACTATACGGTAAAAATTTCCACCTTTTTAAAAGAAAATCAGTTTGAAGCGGTTTATAGGAAAACAATTGAGTTGCCAACCACTGTTATAGGAAATAAGTGATTTATAACACATTTAAAACTGTTATATCCTAAATTTGTTTGATACTGTTGCATACTTCTAGGATGAATGGTGAAAACTGTTTTTGATTTAAGCACTGACCAAATAACTATAAAATAAAAAAAAAAATAGATACAGATACGAATTTAAAACAGTTCAATGTTGTTAGAATTTTAAAATGTATTAAAATTGTAGTGTCGTAAACATGGCGTTGTTCTTTGTTCTACCAGTGGAGGCTTTCGAAATAATCTTTATTTCCAAAAAAAAAAAAAAATTAAAATATTTAAAATTTCACTAAAATTATTTGCATAAAAATAAATTTAAAATTCTTGAGTCCTTTAAAAGTTATTATCTCATGGAAAATAAAATGTTTTTGGTTAAAAATGGATAATGGAAAAAAGTATTCTTTTGTAAAATAAATAAAAAACTAATTTAAAATTCAAATAAAATAATAAATATTTAAAATAAAAGGCAAAAAACTGAAAAAACGGTTTTCATTTTCCAAATGTTGAAAAAGATGACAAAATACCTCATGATAAAATTTTTGGTATTTTGATGTTAAAAATACTAACACTGTTCTATATCAGGCATTTGATTCAAAATAAAATACAATAAAAAATTTAAAACAATTCAAATTTCATGCAAATTAAAATCATAATTCATTAACATCTGACAATATTTAGCCTATAACGTATTGCACTGACTTTCTGACGCTTTGACATTTCACGAACCCAATTAAAAATTCTTCAAATCACAGAAATTCTATGATGTAAAAAGTTTTCAATTTGCATTTTCACAGATCTAGTATTGTGAAACCTTATGCCACCACGAGGATAAAACAAAACTTCCATGTTAACGAGCACAAATCACAAATCTTTTAAAAACAAAAAATTTGCGAACATAAACTCTGATTCTTAGCAACTTATGGGTGTGAGTCTTGTTCAGTTAATGACAAAAAATTCAAACGCAAATATCGTTTGTAATGCGTGAATACCGCTAATATTTCCACAACACCTAATAATATGCAAGAGAATAGGAAACCAAAACAAGGACCAACGAAAAAAACTTGCGAATATTCAAATGATGGCTATAAGCAGCAGAGCGGCTAAGAGGAAGCAGTGGAGTCCAAAACAGTGTTCATTTTGTATGCTTTTAATGTCACTATTGTGTTGTTGCTGTTATTATTGTTTTATTTCTTTCTATTTGTATGCATAGATGTTGGTTTTGTTGTTGTTGCTGCTGTTGTTGTGTTTCATTCACGAGGACATGGTGGAAGGCATTACGTTTTAAAAGCTAAAACAGCAAATATAAACGAGGACAGGAGAAATTGGTAGGGCCTTCGTGTCAATGTCACCATCGACACCAGGTGGGTGGAGGATTTGGCCAGATTCCACTAGACCTCGGTGCCGTCCTCTCCCTCGTCGTCGAATAGCTGACTTGTGCTACCATGGCCATTGCGTGATGCTGTCACGGACATTTTCTTCTTCGGCTTTGGTGGCGGTCTGGGTGGTATTTTGGTTAATTTCGGTTCTGAGCTGTTGCCGCTGTTTGAGATCGTGGTGGTGGTCGTTGTTGTGTTGGCGCTGCTATTGCTGCTGCTGTTGTTGGGCATTATGGCGGAATGATGTCTTGCTGTGCCATATAATGGTTCCGTGTCCGAGGTTGTTGTTGTTGCTGTTGGCTGATGTAGTTGATTAACTAATTCGTGAAGGGGTTCGTAGATTTTACTTGTATTATTGCTGGACATGTTGTTTTGTGGTGTTTGTTGTTGTTGCAGCTGCTGTTGTTGTTGTTGTTGTTGCTGCTGTTGTTGCTGTTGGTAAATCGCCTGCTGTTGCTGTGCTTGATTGGAGTTCACCGATGTGAGACTGGGTGTTGCCGGCAATGGTCGATCCCGCATTGTATAGCGCACTGGCTGTTCCTGTTGCTGCATTAGACTCTTGTTCAAATTAAGAGTTGAGCTACCGCCAGCGGTTGTTCGTAGTCCCAAATTGTCATAGACAGGTTCGACTATCATTTCGGCCGTTGTCGCTGTTCCAGTTTCGCTGGGATTCGGTGAGGTGGGCGATTGAAATTCACTCAATTGTGTCGAATTGGTAGCCGATGACGATGGCGCCCAACTTGGAACTCGTGGTTTGCGTGGTATTGTCATGTAGCCCTGTTTCATAACAACCGCTGAAGTGGTCGCCGGTGAGTAAACAACGGGTGCCGGGACAAACGGTGACTGTTGTTGCCTGCTATTAGCAGCTGCAATAAGTGCTAAATTGCGCGATTTGGGATGTTGCAGGGTCATGAAACCGTTTGGTGTGGCTGCCGCTATGGTCGTGGTACCATAAATGCCATGGGGTGTCATGTGGGCATAGACGGGACTGGTCATTGGCGGTGAACGTATGCCGTAGATAACCTGTTCGGGTATATTCGACTGTGACGATTGCATGGAGGGCGATGTGGGTGGGACACGTGCTGGGAAAGCCAACAAGTCTGGTGGCAGCGTCGTAACATATGTGTCGTCCATGTAGGTGTGGCGTGTACGAGGCACTGTATTGTCCGATGTGGTCACCGAATGAGTTTCATCATCACGATGATGAAGATTTCCTGCAAGTAGTAATGAGAAGAGATAAGGAAAATTAAATAAAAAAGGTTTATTTAATGGGCGAATTAAAAAATAGGTAATCACAAAAAATTTAGGGCATAATTCTTTAAAGCTCTGCTAAATAAAATAGAGATTTAAAATGCAATCCCTAGATATGTGTGTGTGTATGTGAGCTACTAATTTACAACATATATACTTTATACACATCTTTTGTGCCATTGTCATTAGGAATTTTGCAAAAGTTCCTCCTGTTTTGTACGTATGTGTATGTGTGGGCAACATTGCCCCCGTATGTTGTCGCTGCCTTTTCTAATAAAAACCCGAGCTTCTTTGGCTGTCTCTAAAACATTTTAACCTTTTGGCATCATCCAACGTCATTGTGTTGGTTGGTTGGTGTTTACTTTGTAGATGTTTTTCTTTTGCTCTCATTCTTTGCTGCGCTGCCACTTGAATCTTGGGTCTTGTAACCTCCGGGGCATTCTGGTGCTGTTGCTCGTTTCGTTGCGCCGTAGATATGAAACGTAGCACGCTGTTCATTTTAAATGTTTAAATTAAAACCTTGACAATGTTGTTACTTTTTCTAATCTTTAAACATTGCAAAGAGGGGGTTTGCCGCAGAGAAAAAATAAACAGCTTCAACAAAAGGAGAACGTTAAAGCATGAAATAGAAAAGCATTTCTTACAAAAAAAAAAGAGAAACTTTGTTTCATTTGATTGGCGTTCGGCAAAAGCTAATCAAAACGTTAACGCCAAAACTTAGGAAATCATAAACCCTTCTCTGTTTTCAAGCAACCATAAAAATTTGGATCGGAGAAAGAAGGTATATAGATTTATGTTTACATTTTTTTGTAGGAACCATAAGGTAGCTAATTATTTTGCACACACTGACCAGAATTGATTTTGCTTAAGGGATGAGACCCGTTTAAATCTATCGGTCCATGGGATTCGATAGAAAAAGAATTTAATACTAATGTTGCCAAAAATTAGCCCAATATATTTCATGATTTGGACGTGGAATGATCCCTAATTTTTAAAAATCAAATCTGGATAAAGTCATTTCTCAAGTTATATTGCCGTCATAGACCACTATTTATACCCTCAGCCATATGGGTACAGAGGGTATATATCATTTGATGCGGCCCAAATATGTTTCACCGAAATAACGGTTCTAAACCCTAGGTCTTTTTGGGCCAAACCCGTTTCAGAACATTTGTAGTCGATATCGGAGTGTCTGCCTGGTGCGCACGATAACTCTCGAAGGGTGTATCACATTTGGTCCAAACTTAGAACACCGTCATATTATTATCAAACTTAATTCGATTACGGGGAAAGACAATATCTGTTCATCCCTTCTAGGTCTCTCCTACAAAATGTCGAAAAGTTCGCAGAAAGTATTGTGCTTTATAGAATCTCGATTTTTGTTTTGTTTAAACTTCTAAAGTCCAAGTATTTTTTATCAGTGCTATGTTGGGTGCGAACATGGACAATATCGGCCCACTTCATAAAGTACTTTCCCACAAAGTGTAGATAGAATAGACCACTCCTTCTTGTGCCTTTTTCCTCTCACAACGAGTCAAAATAAATGAATAACTATGAAGCAAAAAAACAAAAACCCGAAATATACGTCCAATTCCTTTCGACTTGGCACATTTCAATATTTCTACCAAAAAAAGATCAAGTAAAAAGACGAATATGTCGGACAACTTTTTCTGCTACCTCCCCCACAACATGTCAAAATTTTGCATTATTTTACATCTCATAATATACGGAGTTTGTGAGAGAGGTACCAGAAGGAGTGGACCGATATCTACGAAATTATGTTCGAGATCTTATGTTAGCTAATATTGAGTTATGTATATACTTATGGTAGTATTAACATACATAAGACCTTTTGTGAATTGCGTAGATATGGGTCCACACTTTCTGGTACCTCCAGCACCAAGGATCAAAATTTTGAATAACAAAAACGCTCATAATATGCGAAATAAGCATCCGATTCTCTTCAAATATCACATATCCCAAAATGTTTACTAACGCAAGATCTGATGTGAACTGTGATCTGGTGTGAGCGATATCTATCGGCCCTCTACTTCTGATACCCCCAGTACCTCACAATTTGCGAAATAAGTCAGCGATTTTCTTTAATTTTTCGGCATCCCAATGGTTGTGTTATTATTAGATGATGTGGAATACTTGGGGTAACAGGGTATCTCCTCTGTCTATATTGGTCCACGATATCGTATATCCCCCCATATAACAGTACCTCCCGATATGCAGTGTTTTGACGATTTTAGCCACATTTGTCAATGGAATTGTCTGAAAATCTGAAAAAGGAGTTCCTTGTGAGTACTTTATCCTCTGGAAGAGAATTGTATATATGGGTCGACGATATCGTTTAGCTCCATATAACGATTCTAGCCGATATTCGGTATTTTGGTGATTTTAGCGACACTATTAACTGGGAAATTTTGCCTGTGAAAAAAATTGTCTATACAGGTTCAGGTCTTCGTATAGCCACCAAATATCGGAACCTTTGTATATTCGATATTTTGATAATTTTAGTGACACAATTTACCGGATATTCGCATTTAAAATTCGCAACGGGTACTACAACCTATGAAGGAAAACTGTCTATGCAGGCCCACGTATTCGTATAGCCAACATAAAATGAGTTTCATTTGAGCGGTATTTTTTGACGGATTTTTTTTTATTTAAATTTTTCAAGTTTCTTCCAAATCTCCACCAGTTGAATAAAAAGTTCGTTAGCTTAACATAGCTGTTTTTACTTGTTTAATCTCCCAAGAAAAGGACAACTAATATGAATAGAATTTATAGCGTCATATAGCGTAAAAAACATTTTAATACGTCTCTATATACCTATCTTTAACAAATGGAACGAGAATTTGAACTTTTTGCCCCATAAAACCCACTCTCACCAAAGAGTTGAGGAAATTACCGTACAAGTTCATAAATGAATATCTATTAGTACATGTGTGTGTGTGTGCGTGAGTATGCCGATGTTTGACAGTATTGCATAAACAGACAGTTTGACCTAATATTGGCATATTTTGACATAGAATTTGTGCAAATTTACCCTTTTCCCCCTAAAATGACTTCCCCTCCTCATGTAACTCTAACTTAATTACAAAACATGTTGTGTTTAATTTTGAACATGGCCACAAAAATGGATATGAAGATATTATAAAGTTGTATGTGCGTGTGTGAGTGTGTGTGCGAGTCTGTGTTGAATGCATGTAAATGTTGTTAGCATTTGAATGCATAATCATGCATTTGAAATGTTTTTCGTAATCAAAATGTGAAGTGCATTTTGAAAACGGACACCATTTCAATGTCAGTCAGACAACAAGCTTTCTGCAATGCAGTGAGTAGACTGCAAATTGATCGGGCATTGAAAAGTTTTAACCCTAAGATTGTAATGTAGTAGCTGTTCGTCATTGTGCTATGAATTACCAGATAAAGACTATTTAATACAAAGAAGGCGTATTTACAATTACCGACGTGAAAATTAAGTTATTTCTTATTTTTTTTTAGTTCGCCATTCTTTATACCCTCCACCATACTATGGAGGGTATATTAACTTTGCCATTCCGTTTGTAACTCCTTGAAACCAGACCCAACAAATTACATATATTCTTGATCAATGTAAAATTCTAAGTCGATTCAGCCATGTCCGTCTCTGTGTGTCTATTGTAATCACACAATCTTTCGAACGAATTAAGATAGAAGGTTAAAATTTTGCACATAAATTTGATAATTTTAGCGATATTATTCACCGGAATTGTTTCAAATTTAATATTTGAAGTTAGAAATGGATTCTACAGCCTAAGACAGAAAATTGTCTGTGCAGATCCACGTCTTCGTATAGCTTCCATATAATCGTACTTCCAAATATTCGGTATTTTGATGATTTTAGCGTCATTATTCACCGGAGTAATTTCAAATTACGTATCCAGAGTTTACAATGGGAACTACAATCTGTGACAGAAAATTGTTAATGTTGTTGTTAATGGTCCAGGTCTTCGTATAGGCTCCATATGTCAGTACCTCCCTATATTCGGTATTTTGACGATTTTAGGTACAATACTCACCGAAATTGTTTGATATGTCGTATTTGAATTTCATAATGGATGCTACAGCCTGTGACAGAAAATTGTCTGTGCAGGTCCAGGTCTTCGCATAGCTCTGATATAACGGTACCTCTCTATATAAGGTATTTTGATGATTTTAGCTACATTATTCACCGTTTATTTCAAATTTCGAATTTGAATATGGTAATGGCTTATGACAAACAAAGCCTATGTGGGTTCACGTCGTATAGACCGAAATATAACGGCTATATTCGGTATTTTTAACCAAATGGTGGAGGGTATTTAAAGTTTGGCCGGGCCTGCTTTTTAACTTGTTTTTCTTTTTTATGATTCCGAACTCTTTGGATCTACTAAAAAAAATTCAACTGCAACACAGCTATAGTTCCCATTCGTAGTCTCCTTTGAAATGGTGTAATCACATTCAAATCATTCGACATATTTGTATTCTAAAGTCATAGATTTTATAGTTGTTTGATTATTTGAGTATTATTTACCAAACACACACACGCACACACTCTCTCACATAACAATACGTTGACATGCTGTCAGTATTCAAAATAAGTTTAGTTTTCAAATACAAACTATTCGGAATATTGACACATTGACATTTGTTCTGGCATCATCATGTTCCACATGTGAATTCATTGATAAAAGTTTTCGTTTTTATTTTTGTTCTGCATTTCTATTAGCAGATGCACACACACACACACACACAGACACATGCAGCATGCACGACAAAGTTTTTAATACACTTCTTTGGGAACATGAGCATACAGTGAAAGTGATTCAGACAGATTTAAACTTTGCTTTCGTGTCAGAGTTTATTTGGGATATTTTGTTCAAAAAATGCAAGTGTGTACGGTGTACCGAGATAATAAGATACCGATTTTATTAAATATATGAAGAGAATCGTTTGGAATTCCTGAGGGGTACTGTGAAAATCTATCCTTTAACCAATCGTCTAGGGGTTAGACCGTCTAGACCAATGCTCAAAAATAAACCAAAATACCAACTTTTGTCAACGTATGTTAGAAAACGGTAAGTAGGAATTATAGGAACACCACAAATTTTTGTAAAATACCTTCAAACATTTTTTTATATAACTAAGATTATACTAAACAACATATAAATTTGCTAAGGAGATGTTCTTAAAGTCAAAAGTAGCCAGGAATTGATAGAAATAATAGACATTTTAATTAGCAATTACTATTTTTGCCTTCAAGATCGGCTGATAACATTTCGTGCGCTTTTTAATAAGATCTTAGGCTTATTTCTCTAAACCAAAATACGAGATAATAAAACAATTTTTAAGATTTTAACACATTCGACCATTAAGATTCGTTCCTGTAAACTTCGAATATCCCACATGGATGCTTACTCTGAGGTATGTTTGGTGCATTTTTGAAGTTGGAGATTCGTCTTTTCACAATTTTGATCTATAAATAACTACAGGGTGAGATGAAAAAAATGCAACCAACTTCAGACTGCTGTCATTTCTAAGCCACTCGTCCGACAGCTGTTAAAATTATTCCAGTAACAGCTCATTATTTTGTTTACAAGCGTACAAAAGCATACAAAAGTTACTCGTGATGGAATTCAAGCGTGATAGTGTGATTTTTTTATATTTGGCTGGAAAACCACAAGTGGTTATCGTTAGAGCACTCCAGCATTTAAATGTGAATAAATCTTTTGTGTCTCGTATCATCGCTTGTTACCGTGATACTGGTAGCGTAGCCCGACGTCAACGAAGTGGACGGAAGAAAACAGCAACATCAGCAGAAATGATTCGAAAAGTAAAGAAGCGACTTGATCGAAACCCGCGTCGCAGTGGCCGAAAAATGGCTCGTGAGCTGAACATATCGCAATATTCCATTCGGCAAATATTGAAAAATGAACTCGGGCTTAAGCCATTGATATTTAAGAAAGTGCAAGAACTTACACCGCAACAGAAAGAAAATAGACTCAAAAGACCTAAAGAGTTTCTTCGCTTGGCCGAAAGTGGTGATCTGCCGAATTTGGTTTTCTCGGATGAGAACACATTCGTTGTCCAGAAGTTTGTAAACAAACAAACTGATCGTGTTTACTTGCCAAAGAAGTCTGCTGAAAATGTGCACCTTCGGTTGGCCACCAGAATCATCATCAGAATAAATGGCATTAGAATAAATGCCGAATATTATCGCGAAAATATTCTGGAGGGTGTATTAAAGCTTTGGGCACGCATACATTTTGACAGCAGGCCTTAGACATTCCAACAGGACTCTGCACCATCGCACTCAGCACGCGACACCCAAGAATGGTTATAAAATGAGGTTCCTCGCTTCATTTCCAGCGCACAATGGCTACCAAAATCTCCGTATACCAATCCGTTGGACTATTGTGTCTGGAGTATTTTGGAAAGCAAGGTTGGCACTAAAAAATACAAAAGTGTCGATCACCTCAAGCAAGTGCTTCGCCGGGAATGGGCTAAAATACCGCAGAGCAACATTCGGGCAGACTGTGACAATTTCATTGGCCATTTGAATGCCACAATTCGTGCCAAAGGTGACTAATTCGAACTAATCTAAACTTATTCTAAAATTTGATGCTATTTCCGACTTTTTTTGCTTTCATTCAATAAGATTTAAAAAAATTTAAAAATTGTGGTGTTTGACTTTGTTGCAGCTGTTTTTATCTCCGCCCCATATAGTATATTTGTTGATTCCTGAAATAATTATCAGCAAATTACCCCATTCAATTGTTTTTAATAATTCAAAGATTGCTTTTCAATATCCCATGGTCAAATAGTTATTAACTTCTGTCCGGTGAAAATAAATTTCTTCGACGAAAATAAGTGTTGTGTGTGCACAAATGACATACGTAATGATATAATTCAGCTAATTATCTTCCTTGTAGAGCTAAAGCTCTGAAAGAACTTTTTTTTAAATCCAGCAAAAATTAACAATCGTCCATAAAATAAATAAATTTAAACTCGTTTTGCAGCGGTGATAATGCGAAAATGTTCGGATTGTGGTTATGGCGTTTCTTCTTCTCTTCTTGAATTCCTTTTTCGGCCATTCCCTATTCAGAGCCTTAACTTTCGCCACGAATTGCCAAAGGAGGAAATAAAGAAATAAAACTTACCAAATTGCGTTTCATCCAACAGAGTCTTCTTAATCTCGTGACCATCATCGCCGCCATTGCCATTGCCCACCCCGTCCATATTCTCCAGCTCTGTGCGCCGTGGCGGTTTTTCGACGGGATTAACTTCTGTCAGTAGGCTTTTTTGCATTTCCATGATGACCGAGCCTTCGAGCATTGAATTGTGTGTTTTATCCATTTTCGAGGAGATTAAGCCATTCTCGCTCATCATCGTTGTATCCTTTTGATAGGTTTTGGAGCGACGACAATACCAGCATATGACGAGAATTATGACGACAAGCAGCAGCAAGAGTGTGGTGGCAATCAATCCAATGATGAGTAAAATATTGGGCTCCGTTTCAGAGGTGGACGTGCTGAGGCCGTGGACTCGATTCTTGCCCGAACCATTGAGGGGACTGTAGTAGTCACCGTTTATAATTAGCTGGAATTCAGCTTCTGCTTTGCCGCCCCGATTGTCTGCAATGCAGGTGTAGGAGCCTTTGTCGGTGGGTCGGACACCAATGATGCGCAACTCTGAATTCAAAGTGTTCGGACTTTCGGCACGATGTTGTTCAACGGAGTTGAGAATTTTAAAACGGGCATCGTTGGGATTGATGGGTCTCTTGTTGTAGAGCCATGTCACATTTGGTCTGGGTGAACCCTCAATGCGGCATGGTAATGTTATGTTATCCGAATGGACATCGACGTATGAGCTTTCAGAGCCCAATATCCGTGGTTTGCAGGCAAAGTTTTCCGAAGGAATTTCATTCCAGAGTTTCCCCTTCAAATGTTGCGGTTCATTGCAATCCGTGGGAGGAGTATACAGTCGATTGGCCAAGGCGAAATCTCGGAACTCCTGCAACTCACATGTACAATTCCATGGATTTGAGGCCAAGGAAAGGTGCACCAATTTTGGAGTCCGTTGAAATGTTTCCCTTCTCAAAACGGTCAGTTCGTTGTTCTCCAAATAGACGGCCGATAAAACTGGCAATTGTCCAAAGGCATGAATGTCTATGCGCTTAAGTTTGTTGTTTTTAAATTCCACGCGCGAAAGGAAGGGCAGGTCCACAAACAGATGATTGTCCAAGGCTTCGATTTGATTGTTGTTCATGACCAAGTTGCGCAACTTAACCAGGCCATTGAAGGTGCCCACATGCAGCTCCTTGATGGAGTTATGCGACAAATCCAGTTCAATTAATATTGTCAGACCTTTGAGGGCATCTCGGTTTAGCTCTTGTATGGTGCAGTACTTCAGGAAGATTTTGTGCAGATTCTGAAGATTTGCATCGCTGAATTCGTCCCTTCTCAGTTCGGGAATCTTGTTATTGGAGAGATCAATGACTTGCAATTCGTTACTCAGATCATTGGGTATTGTGTAGAGCTGTCGGTTTTTGCAATCTGCTGTCTTCTTGCCCGAATTCCAGTGACAATGGCAGTTGCTACAACTCTGGATCCAGTCAGAGTTGGCAACGGTGGCGGGCAGGTTCGTCAGCACAACGCTCGTTAGGAAGAGAATCTGTGTTAGCCAATAATGCAGGCGGTACCATGTCATTTTGATGGTAGGCTTCATTCTGTGTGTGGATGTGGCCATAATGTGTTATTTGACGATGGTCGTCGTGGTGGTGATGGTGATGATGATAATTACCAGGGTGGTGATGGTAATGGGATTTCTTATTGTATTTCAAGTGCTGAGGCGACGTTCGCAATAAAGTTGTTTAATTGAAACGCACTGAGAGTCTCATTAAATATCTTCAATTTTTTATTAGTTCTCGCCCAACTTTCCTCTGCTTATTCGGCTCGGTGGTCCCTCGTGGCAGAAAAGTAGCTTTTATTTAAGCCAATTTAATGGGTGGCAGCAGAACCCAAGTTCAAATATTGGGTATACCTCGGTGGTGCTGCCGCCCAACTTGTTAATTCCTGTGGAATGTTTAATGCTTGTAAAGCACAACCAACCAACCATCTATTAAGGACGACAAGCCAATGTCGCCGTCAGCCGCTAGGACAATGACTAGCAGTACACCGAGCCCGTTATGATGTTGCTGACGTTGATGATGACGACGACAATGATGATGAGGACGTAGATGATGATAATTTTGATGTAGTCTTTAGTGCCGTTGTTGGGTGGTTTTGGGACTGCGTGTGTCCTTTATTTCTTATTAATTAATGTCCTCGTCGTTGCTGTTGAAGCTGTTTTCCTTTTTTTTATGTTGCGAATTGTGGTGCGAGATTGTGTTCTTGTTGTTGTCGTTGTTTTTGCTGTGCAGTGTGGTGGGAGTTGATGGCGTTGTTGTTGACACTCCTTTAAATGTCAGCATTTGCCTGTAGATTTACAGCTGGTAATTAGCATAATATCATTGTATTTAACACGTTCGGCAACAATTACATTAACACTGCTCTTCTGGCCTGTAACGATACAAATACGAAAGAAGAAAATTCATTATTAGAAACATACGCAGCGAACAAATTCGTCATTTGCTAGAAACATGAAAACAAAGTAATTAAAGAAAACTATATTAGAAATAAAGGCATAAGAATAATTCCGATTAGAATTTTAATGTTAAGCGTCTTAAGGAACAAATGCTTACAAAGCAGCTGACCATGTAGTCAAATCGTGAAATTATTTCTAACCGAAGTAACTGCACAATGGGACTTATAACAAACAAAGGATAATCAAGGGGAGAGGAATTTGCCCAAGGTTCAACTGAATGCAATTTGAGGAAAGGAAAATTGGGTTTCAGTGATAATCCAGTGAACAATAGCGAATTCGAATTTTAATTTGATGACAGAATATTTAAACAACCTATGTATATAAAAAAATACTTTGCTTTTTTTTCTTTTTCATAGCTCTGAGACAGCTCTAAATAAAATTAAAAATTACAGGGTGAGATAAAAAAATATTCCCGGCGAATCGCTTGCTTGAGATGGTCGACACTTTGGTATTTTTTAGTGCCAACCTTGCTTTCCAATTTACTCCAGACACAACAGTTCAACAGATTGGTATCCGGAGATTTCGTGGCAATTGTGCGCTGGAAATGAAGCGATGAACCTCATTTTGTAACTATTCTTGAGTGGCGTGTGCTGAGTCCTGTTGGAATGTCTAAGGTCTGCGGGCAAAATGTTTGCGTGCCCGAGGCTTTTATACACCCTCCAGAATATTTTCGCGATAATATTCGGCATTTATTCTGATGCCACGGTAGATAAATACGAGCGTAGAGCGACCATCGGCTGTTATGGCGTTGAGTTCTGGTGGCCAACTGAAGGCACATTTTCAGCTGGCCTCTTTGGCAAGTAAACACGACAACGAATGTGTTCTCATCGAAGAAAACCAAATTCGGCAGATCACCACTCCTTAGCTCCTTTGAGTCTATTTTCTTTCTGTTGAGGTGTAAGTTCTTGCACTTTTGGGAATTTCAATGGCTTTACCCCGACCTCATGTTTCAATATTTGCTGAATGGAATATTGCGAATATTGCGGTTTCGATCAAGTCGCTTCTTTACTATTCGAACAATTTCTGCTGATGTTGCTGTCCACTTTCTTGACGTTGGGCTACACTACCAGTATCACGGTAACGATCGATGGTACGAGACACAAAATATTTATTCACATTTAAATGCTGGAGGGCTCTAACGATAACCACTTGTGGTTTTCTAGCCAAATATAAAGTAATCATACTATCACCCTTGAATTCCATCACGAATAACTTTTTTTCTACAAAATTCTCACCAAAATGTTTTTGTACGCTTGTAAACAATATAATAAGCTGTCACTGGAATAATTTTAACAGCTGTCGGACTGTAAGAAAAATTTAATTTGCATTTTTCTAAACCTCTCCCAATGTGCCAAATGGGATTTGAGGACTCTTGTGAAAAGGGTAGATGGTAATTTGCATTCGCATTACTATGTTGCTGACATTAAATACCTCTTAATTTATTTCGGCGAGGACGAAATAAAAAAAATAAATCACGACTCATAAAATGTTTTTTTTTGCGTTATTCGTTAGCTGGTATTTGAGCAGATCCTTTTTGTCATTATTTTCTAGTTTTGTTTTTCTGCTAAGCCAAATTTAGGGCTGTTATTGTGTTCACTCTTTCCTTGCCGTTGTTGTTCTTATTTTATGTTAATGATGTTGGTGGTGATGGTCTATTTTTATGCTGTTGGCCAGCCAGTCAGCCAGCCAGGGAGCCAGCATGAGAGCGACATGGCATGAAAAATTACAACCTTTGACAAATGACCCTGAAAAGCTTTCATTTGTCGGCATGTCAGGGATTTGTTTTAATCAGCAACTCTTTAAGACTTAATTTGTCATGAACGTTTAGACACTTGTGAAAGCTTATTCAGATTTTGTCTTTCGCACTTATCCTCGCCCAACACCCAAATACACAATAACATCAACGGCCAGTATACACAAAAATATCCACACTATTAATTAAGTTAGAAACATAAGATGTGAACGTTAAGTAGTAAAAACGAAATAATATTATTAAAATGCAATGTAGAAACTTTTTGGGGCTTAGGATTTGTGATAAGAATACTTAGCACAGAACAGAACATCTCAGACTGATTTTAATGAGACAACAGAGTCTGATGATTGATGGTAGTTGGTAGCTGAGATGAAAAGGTTATGGCTGTGTTTACATGATTTTTCGCGGCACAACGATACGCACAGACGAAATTAGCACAACAGATTTGTGGTAAAAAGGGGTTAGAGTTATAGCTGAAAGAGGTGCTTTTTGAAAAAAAGAACAACAGCTGTATTAAATGCTGAACACACCAAATAACTCAAAATATTTATTTATTTATTTTGTGGAAACGCAATATTGATGCAAAAAGTATTTTTTATTTGAGCTAGAATTATTGAGTTCAATATCGTCCACATAGTCTTCACCATGGCCTATATAAGGTCGGCCAGTAAGCCCATCTGACAACCACCAAGTTTGTTGTCGAATGTTGTGTTTTTGGCAGACCTTATCTAGGCGTTGGTCTTCACAATTTTTTATTTATTTATTTTTGGTAGTAGACAGTATTCAGAAAATAGTAATTGTGAATCAAATGAGTCAAAATATTCTAAAAATGTCCTACAATTTCACTGTTCAATAGCCATTCTGGGTTGTAAAAATTTCCAAGTGGAACCCATAGTACTCGTTTGAATATCAAAACCCCAAAGGAGTTTCAGGTTCTTAGGCCAAAAGTTATTAAGGCGCTTATATAGTTTTGAACATATACAAAGGGACCCCTATAATTTAATATATTCAGGGTGAGATGAAAAAACTGCAACCAACTTCAGATTGCTGTCATTTCTAAGCCACTCGTCCGACAGCTGTTAAAATTATTCCAGTGACAGTGACTCATTATATTTTTTACAAGCGTACTAAAGCATTTTGGTAAGAATTTTCCAGAAAAAAAATTTATTTGTGACGGAATTTAAGCGTGATGGTGTGATTTATTTATATTTGGCTGGAAGCCACAACTGGCTATAGTTAGAAAACATCTTTTGTGTCTCGTACCATCGCTCGTTATTGTGAAACTGGTAGCGTGGACCGACGTCAAGGAAAAAAGCAACATCAGCAGAAATGGTTCGCAGAAGAAGCGACTTGACCGAAACTCGATTCGCAGTGGCCGAAAAATGGCTCGTGAGCTGAACATATCGCAATATACCATTCGGCCATTGAAATTCCAAAAAGAGCAAAAACTTACACAGCAACAGAAAGAAAATAGACTCAAAAGATATAAAGAGTTGCTTCGCTTGGCCGAAAGTGGTGATCTGTCGAATTTGGTTTTCTCCGATGAGAAAACATTCGTTGTCCAGCAGTTTGTAAACAAACAAAATGATCGTGTTTATTTGCCAAAGAGGTCAGCTGAAAATGTGCACCTTCGGTTGGTGTGGGCCGCCATAACAGCCGATGGTCGCTCTCCGCTCGAATTAATCGACCGTGGCATCAGAATAAATGTCGAATATATCGCGAAAATTTTCTGGAGGGTGATTTAAAGCCGGGGGCACGCAAACATTTTGGCCGCAGACCTTCGACATTCCAACAGGACTCAGCACCATCAATCTTAGCATGCGCCACTCAAGAATGGTTACAAAATGAGGTTCCTCGCTTCATTTCCAGCGCACAATAGCCACCAAAATCTCCGGACACCAATCCGTTGGACTATTGTGTCTGGAGTATTTTGGAAAGTAAGTAAGGCACTAAAAAATACCAAAGTGTAGATCCACTGAAGCAAGCGCTTCGCCGGGAATGAGCCAAAATACCACAGAGCAACATTCGGGCAGTGTGTGACAGTTTAATTGGCTGTTTGAAGGCCATAATTCGTGCTAAAGGGTACCAATTCGAACAAATCTAAACTTATTCTAAAATTTGATGCTATTTCCGACATTTCTTGCTGTCATTCAAAAAAAAGTAAAATTATGGCGTTTGACTTTTTTGCAGTTTTTTTATCACACCCTGTATTTAAAAAAATTTAGGATAGAGATTTGAAATTTGATTTGGTCTATGTCCAAGCTCATTAATAAAGAACATGGATCATATCAAGTGTTTTTATGATTTGGCTATGTTTCTATTTAATTTTGCCCAATTTTGGAATTTTAAATTTTAAATTTTTATTATGTAGAAACGCTATTTACAAACAATTATACCAAAAAAATTTTATTTAGGATTTTTTTTGGAAATTAAACCTCGTTTCACATTAAGAGGTTCCATGCTAGAGAAGATATATTGAGAAGAGATATTTAATGATATTAATGATAAATATGAAGTAATTTGAAAACTAGACAACAAACGATAGAATTCTATTTGGAATCGAAATGACATATAAAGGATGAGTGCAGTTTTAAACATATTTTACCAAAAACCAGTGAAAACTGTTAAACGTCCATGTTCCACAATAAATTATTACAATGCGTTCTTGCTCCTTGAATTACTCTTCTTGTTAAAGTTCCAAACATTTCGGAAGGAATGCTTCAATTTCATTTGTCCTAATATTTGTTACTTTCGCCTTTAACGAAGAAAAGCAGACATTTTTGTACTCTTTTACATTTCAATTTACAGTCAATTTGATACTCATCGTTTGTAATGGCATTTTGTTACTTTTGTCGGCAACAGTTGCAACATCAAAGAGACCCAAATACTTGAATAACCGCACAAAGTAAATTTAAACTATTATTTTGGTAATAACCGCTCTTTGTTGCATTTTTATTTCGCCATTGTTGGCAGCAGCATGGATGGCCGTGGCTCGATTTGCCTCTTGTACGCTTTTGTATTTGCATTCACATTTAACAACAATAATAAAAATAATAGTAACAACAAGAAGAGTAACAAGTATTTATTTATCGAACGTTCACAATTTGCATATTCTGGGACAGAACACAGAGCACAAAGTCGTTCACTCCGCAAATGCAAATT